GTCAGCTTTATGCTTTCCCTGCATCGATCTGTTTCCTTATCTCTTATCGTTCAACGCATATGTCCCCTGTATATAAATATCTCTGTATACCAGTGACGTATCGTTCGCTTTAAAAACTGCACACTGAAGCGACTGCGTTCTAGGAAATTAATTTCAGACGAAAACACGTCATTTTACAATCGTCGAGCAAAAACCAGAATATCGAATTTCGTTTGGAAGTCAGTTTCATATTGTACCAATTCATTTTCCTGTCTTCTGCATTGTTAACTATACTCCAACGCGAATTTTCTGCTACATATAAAAACTCGCCGGCTGTGTTATTTCCTGCAATATTGTGCTGAAAAATAATTGGAGAAATATGTGGATTTTGCAGCAATATTAATGCAGTATTACGTTTTCTTGAAATATTTATTACATTTAATGGAATGAAAAATTTGATATTAGTACCGTGATTAATTCTTCGGAAATACATATTTTAACTGTCACTGTTTAGATTTTCGATGTTTAAATTATTTAGATTGATAGTAATCACTTGACCGTTTAGTTCGTACCTGATATATATGCTAGAACCACATTGTAATTTAGTTATAATGGCTGTACTATAACTAGGCTTGCAATATAATGTTGCAACATAATCTTACAATTTAATGCAACAGTGTAATATTATCTGGATAACATTCATACAGTAGAAATATAATATGAATCTCCATTAAAAAATATACTGAATAAATAAGTTATTCTTTACTATATATTCTCATTATGTTGTACCGCGATGAAAATTTAACGGACAATTTCTTCGTTATTTCTACAATAATGTTTGCGACCATACCGGAAATCGGGCGACAGGTACTCGATATTTTTCGTACGATAATGTCGTCCAGTTTCCCGTCGCGTACTGTCGTAAACAGTCATTGAATAATTCAGGCGAGACGCGACGGGATGAATTGAAATTTTCGCAGCCGTTCCCCGGTCGTGGGTGGCGGCTTGAAAAATGGTGTTTCGCATGGCGTCGCGTCGCGCACCGTCGCGCACCGTCGAGTCGTGTCCTCGGAGTTTCTCATTTGTCGGGGGCGAGACACCGTGCGCGCACGGGAGCACGCCGCAGCGGAGCAGCCCGTGAATGCCGAGCAATTTTGCCCTTTGATACGGTTAAACCTTCCGGGGACAAAGGTCCTGGATTAATCGAACAAAACACGATCAGCGCGCCCGCCGTCCCGAGTAATGGCAACTCGCGCTAATTAGACGTCAATTTCAATATCCGGTAATTTCTCGGGCGCGATTCCGCGTGTCAGGAGGCCTCCGTTTCGACTGCAAGGAGCTTGATTAAACGCGCAAATTAATTTTTCCGTTTGTGACCCCGTCGCGTTCTTCCACCGTTGGTCCTCGTGAATGAATTCCTTTACGCGTTCGTTAGCGCCGTTTGTTCCACTCCCCTGGATACGGTATTCTTTTGTTCCTCCGTCGTTTATGTGTAGTAGAAAATGCGATTGTCAAAGAACCGTCGTAAATTGCGCGTGCGTCAATCCGCTTTTCAATAAACGTTCGCTTCTAGTGCAAAATTCTCTACGATATTATTTTTTTCTTGAATCACGGTGCAATTTTAAAGAATTTTATAATTGTTGCGCACTTTGAAACAATTTAGAAAATTGTGGTGCAATTTGAAAGAATGTCAAAGCTATAGCGCAATTTGAAAAAATATTAAAATTGTGGTACAATTTCAAAAGATTGTAAACAATGGTACAGAAAACAATTATTTTATTGTTTACGAATTTGCATTTTGTCGAATAAATGTTTTATTCAGGTCTGTAGAATCGATTTTTTGGAGGGTGAAGGGCAAGTGAAATGTAGGTCAGCGATTATGGATGTTATCTAACGTTCTATTGACAAATAATTGGCCAGCGATTTGCCGTCATTACACTGTTGACCGTCGCTTTAGTTCGAAATAGTTTCTCCGTGACGTGGCACTGTCTGCGCGCAAATCGCGAGAGCCATTATGCCAGCGACAAAATCTTCTATTCAACCGGCATTTGTAGGTATACGAATCTCTATCGTCCATACGCGCTTCGCTAATCCTAGCGGGGCATTGCGTCAGTTATCCTCTGTGATTTTGTGTTCGTTAACCGGTCCGTTCGCCTATTGTTGGTCGTTAGCATTCGGTCATCAAAGATTTAGCCACTTGGCGATTTGATGCGTCGGATACACTTTTGTTTGAGTCCCTTGATCCTACGTGACAAGTTCTATTTCAATCACAAGCTAATAAAATCCCTATGAAGCTAATATTGTAATTGCATCACTGATAAAAAAAATTCTTCATGGATGCATTTGTTATAGAGAATACATTATAGATACATTTTGGATATCAACTGCGCCGTGATTGCAATTTCTGTAAAAAGTGTATCGCTATAAAAAATGCATCGCGATTGCAATTTCCGTAAAAAGTGCATCAGGAATGCATGTTGTGCAAAAATAGCATCCTCAAATGCGCTCCGACTGAGACCTGCATCGTGAACGCATTTTGAATAAAACTTGCATCGTGAATGCATAGTGAATAAAAGATGCCTCGTAAATGCATTCCAAATGAAAAATGCGTCATGAATGCATTTCGTATAAGGAGCGCGTCAAGAATTTATTCCGGATTGCGTCACGTATGCAATTTTGGGGTACATCAAACTGATTTTACGGCTTCCTCGATACCGCGCAAGGTGCATTTAATCGAGGCGTTATCACGGCGGGGTGAACGCTCCCTGCAATTTTCCGGTGCATCTTAGTTGCACCTCCTGATCCACCGGCGGTCTATTATTAACACGTACGTTGCAACATAGTGTGTTGTGCCATGATAGCGTGTTCCGCCGGTATCTCGATTCAGCGACGCGTCGATTGCACCGCTTGCGGATAATAATCGCGTCGTTACCGAATCCCTGGTTCCTGCATATGCAGTCACTCTCTCTCTCTCTCTCTCTCTCTCTCTCTCTCTCTCTCTCTCTCTCTCTCTCTCTCTCCTCCCTCGTTCGGCCATTGAAGTTTCTCGTCTGCGGCGCAACGCTGCCGGCCGACGGAGCTTGCGGCATTCAAATTCCTAGACGACGGTTTTCGTTGACAGCCTGCACGCGACTGCTCCCTGGCTTCCGCCTACCGCGACTATTATTACCCGCGTCGTTGAGTCACGCCCGGTCGGGATATTTGTAGTCCCTGTAATTAGGGACTGTCATCCGCCTCATTAGTGTCACTATTCATAGATTCTTTTCGATGTAATCGATGTCTCGGGCAGTTTATTTTATCGCCGGGCGTCGTAATCGTTTGCGATATTATGGAGCTTGTAGTCGTTAGGCTGTCATTACAGTCGGACTCTACCATCTGTATGGATTTTGTATTGTACTCGCTTGTTATATCCATTATAATTTTTACCGTGTCTAGGTACCTTGTAGTCACTTGTCATCTCTATTTGAATTTTTATTGAATCCGAAATCGTTTCTCGTGTAATTTGCTTAGGCATATTTTCCACCCTTGAATAATCCTCCCTCCCGTATAAATTGGACGAAAGGTCCCTAACTGATTAGGGTAAGAAGTACTCGTTTTCTCGAGCTCTGGAGAGCGCAGCCTTTCGCAGCCAAATTCGCCCGGGCGATGTAATGACTGTTTGAAATCACGCGAAACACCGATCAACTGGCGTTACGTAATGGCACTTACGTGTTCCATCATGGCTGGATAATGGGATGGGTAGAGGGCGAATGCACCGATCAAGTGCGCCACGGAGAAAATGAAGCCGGCGACGCATGCATATCGTAGACGAATTGGTAGGAGGGCGTAGGCCATGTAGATGAAGAAAGAAACAGCCCAGGCTGCTGCTAATGGTCCTCCACTTCGATGTTCCTTCGAGCCTAGGGCTAGGTGGACGTTCAATGAGACTTGCAGGGCCAGCAGGGTCACCAGAATGATCACACTGACCCCTGCTAACCATACTTCGTTCATTCCTGGTCTCGATATCGCTGCCACCAACACTAGAAGCAGAAAAACCTATCGTTTAAGAATTTCACAAATACAGTGCAACATTTATTTAATGCTCTTCTCCATTGAGTAATTAATAGACTGCGAATTTTTATGTAGAATAAAAACTTTTTTTATAAATTGCACCGAACTGGAACAAGATTGAAATTTCGATCTTTATTTAATAACTTCAGTAAGTTGTTAGTAATATATAGATAATCTTGAATTTTGTTAGTCCCTGTACTGTTTCAAATGTGATGAATCTATTTTGATCATAAATACATTAAATCCGTAGTCTAATAATTAATNCTCTCTCTCTCTCTCTCTCCTCCCTCGTTCGGCCATTGAAGTTTCTCGTCTGCGGCGCAACGCTGCCGGCCGACGGAGCTTGCGGCATTCAAATTCCTAGACGACGGTTTTCGTTGACAGCCTGCACGCGACTGCTCCCTGGCTTCCGCCTACCGCGACTATTATTACCCGCGTCGTTGAGTCACGCCCGGTCGGGATATTTGTAGTCCCTGTAATTAGGGACTGTCATCCGCCTCATTAGTGTCACTATTCATAGATTCTTTTCGATGTAATCGATGTCTCGGGCAGTTTATTTTATCGCCGGGCGTCGTAATCGTTTGCGATATTATGGAGCTTGTAGTCGTTAGGCTGTCATTACAGTCGGACTCTACCATCTGTATGGATTTTGTATTGTACTCGCTTGTTATATCCATTATAATTTTTACCGTGTCTAGGTACCTTGTAGTCACTTGTCATCTCTATTTGAATTTTTATTGAATCCGAAATCGTTTCTCGTGTAATTTGCTTAGGCATATTTTCCACCCTTGAATAATCCTCCCTCCCGTATAAATTGGACGAAAGGTCCCTAACTGATTAGGGTAAGAAGTACTCGTTTTCTCGAGCTCTGGAGAGCGCAGCCTTTCGCAGCCAAATTCGCCCGGGCGATGTAATGACTGTTTGAAATCACGCGAAACACCGATCAACTGGCGTTACGTAATGGCACTTACGTGTTCCATCATGGCTGGATAATGGGATGGGTAGAGGGCGAATGCACCGATCAAGTGCGCCACGGAGAAAATGAAGCCGGCGACGCATGCATATCGTAGACGAATTGGTAGGAGGGCGTAGGCCATGTAGATGAAGAAAGAAACAGCCCAGGCTGCTGCTAATGGTCCTCCACTTCGATGTTCCTTCGAGCCTAGGGCTAGGTGGACGTTCAATGAGACTTGCAGGGCCAGCAGGGTCACCAGAATGATCACACTGACCCCTGCTAACCATACTTCGTTCATTCCTGGTCTCGATATCGCTGCCACCAACACTAGAAGCAGAAAAACCTATCGTTTAAGAATTTCACAAATACAGTGCAACATTTATTTAATGCTCTTCTCCATTGAGTAATTAATAGACTGCGAATTTTTATGTAGAATAAAAACTTTTTTTATAAATTGCACCGAACTGGAACAAGATTGAAATTTCGATCTTTATTTAATAACTTCAGTAAGTTGTTAGTAATATATAGATAATCTTGAATTTTGTTAGTCCCTGTACTGTTTCAAATGTGATGAATCTATTTTGATCATAAATACATTAAATCCGTAGTCTAATAATTAATTAAACGAGTCATAGGAGAGAAGTGGACAAGTATTTAAAAATTATATAAAAATTGCTGGTCATCGAGAATTTTTTGTTTATAGCCTCCAATTTTATTTAACAATGTATCACTGGGAACGAACTAGGATGACTGAAATAATTGCTTCAACGAACCCTAAATCAGGGAGCAAATTAGTCAGGAATCTGAAAATTATGCAGAAATTGCAAGTCTCATTGAAACTTTAAGGATCTTGCTTATAGTCTCAAAGTTTGCATAGCAATTTATATCGATTAAATCTTCAGAATCAAACAGCGTTAGTAGTTGGAACAGTCAAGCGTCTAAAATTTTTATAAAAATCGCTGGTCGATAGAAATGCCTGGGATCCGTCAATAGTCTTCGGTATTGAGGCTACAATACGCGAGAGATGGCTTCTGTAAGAAAACACGGGGACAGCGAATGGGCGAATTCAGTTTTCATTCCGCTTGGCCGATTATTTTTGCAACGGTGTTTTTCCATCGGCGTAAATCCACGGTTGACCATCGCTGCCCGCGCCGCCGTGGGAAGAAATTCCGTTAACGGAGTTTTATCCATTATTGTCCGGTTTGATCATCCTCGTTACTCCCACGGGAAAGTAGAGATAACGGGTGGTTTTTATCAGGCTGTTTCGCCCTGTGAACGATCGCGACACGTGGTTTTACGCTGTCGGCAAATGGACCGAGGCTTTGTCACCGTCGCCGTTCCGACACGGACCACAGAGACAGGCTTAGGGGATTCTTGTTCTACAGGGATTACGGTCTTCCTCCTTGCCATTTCGAAACATTCGCGGCTGCGATTGTTCACGATTTATTCCCGTTTCGATTTTCTCTGCCGTTCACGGACGACCCGCAGCGATTCGAGAAGTAATTAACAATCGAACGACTAACGTTATTGATGAAACTATAACTGAAAATATGCTTAGGATAATTTACCAATTTCTTCCAACGTATGTTTTGAGATACTTTTTCAAAACGTGTTCGGTTTTCTATAGACTTTAATGAAATATGTTCATTAAACATATTAATGCCGCCCCTGCTGTCCGAGTGTTCATTCGCAAATGACATCACTTTGTCGATGATTGTCTACTGGCAGTCATTTAACGTCAGGTAATGCGAGGGAAATTTTCGATGGATTTTTTATGCAATTCGTGTGCTTAAGTGTAGAAATTATGGGTGTCTTGATTGGGGCGATTTAAATAATTGCCGAGTGTCTGAACATATGTCGACTCATTCTACTTGGAATTTTTCTATTTCATTTATATTTATTTTGTTCGATTGAATGTGATTTATATCGTCTACAATGTGAACCACACTTCAAATTAATTTGGGTTGAATAATTAAAGACTGATTCATTCTATATTTCCTAATAATTAAAAATTCCTGCGTTCTTCTTGATAAATTAAATTATTTCTCTCTGCATTTTATTTTTGTATTTCGAACACCGTGATTTATTTATTGTTAAAGCCTCTTATTAAATTGAAAAACACAAGTGATCTGAAGTGTCTGATCACATACTGATCGACTCTACTTGTTCCTATAAAAACCAATGATGTTATCATATCCGGCCAGATAAACTTGATTTCTTCGGAAAATTAGCGACTCTATGGGTGACTTATGAAACAATGCAAACTCGGGACGTATTTCAACAAGTGAAAATTTATTATCAACATCAACAAACAATTGTAAAACGAGTGTTCATTCACCAGAATATACCGCGATGCAGAAAACCAGTGTGACAGCAAGTGATAGGTTCTCAGGTCGCTCCAGCATGACTAGAAATTCTTGATCATCGTTCAAAGATAGCCGCAGAATTAAGAGAAGGCCCAGAGCGATTGCCAGTCCCGCCAGCAGGCCCAGCACGTGTGTCATGTTGCTCTGGTTCATTCGTAGAAAGTATCTCTGGTACAGCATCTCCACCTGGAAACGATATTTTTTAAAATGCAACCATAATCTCCGCCGTCCTCTGACAGGGTAAACAACATTTTCTATTTAAAGCCGTATAAGGAATTTTAATCAGCAATTTATCAGTGAACGAATTTAATTTTGTTAACGACAAAGTAGTTAAAATACACTAATTAATTACTGGTTCTCGCTTTGTTAGATAAAAACAAATGAAATCTTGCAATTAATTACTGTATTATATTTTGTTAGCTAAAAACATGTAAAATCCTGCTATTAATTAGGTGATTTAATTCTGTCGACTAAAACCAAGTGAAATCTGCTAATTAATAACAGAATTTAATATTGTACACTGCAGATAGCTTAAATCTATTGATTAATTGAGAAATCAGTCTTGTTAGCTAAAAACAAATAAAATTTACTAATTAATTAACGGATTTTAATGTTTTAATTAAAAACGAGTGCTGTCTACTGATCAGTTAAAATGATCTGAGAAGCTCTGAGTTTGATTAAGTAACAGAAACGTTGAGGAGATCTTGTCGACCATTTTATTCAATTTAACGATGCAGATAAATTTGCAAATTCACCAAGAGATGACCGGATGCTCGTAAATCATGGTGTCGACATAGTGGGATCGATTTGATCGATTTCTAGTCAGCTAAACCCCTCGAAGCCCGTAATCCGGACGCACATATCGCGCATTGTCAGAACAATTCCGTCGGAACGCCTCTATCCGAGGCTCGATAAGACCTCCGCCGCAATCGCGTGACATAAACCAAGTGTTTTATCGCCGGCCGTGTTCTCGGTGGTTCGTCAACCACCAAGATTTTACGGGAAACGGATACACGGCGCGTAGAGTGCGTCCCAGTGTGGCGGTTGCTCTCGCTCCACTCCGCCCCGCCCCGCGCGACAGGAGAGTAAATTAATTAAAATTAATTAAAATCCAGTCCCGTTTTCATCGTTCCACGCGCTCGTCCATTTATCGTTCTCTCTGCCTTCGAAATCCTCGGAAGCGTGTCACGAAAAAAGCCTGAATCGCTCGCGGGAAAATCTAATTGCTTTTCATGACAAATTCTGTTTTCTCGTCAGCCTCGATTGCGTCCGTTCAAACAATTTTAGTAGCGAGCGTTGCCATTCGGGAATTATTCAAAGTGACCTGGAGTGTCTGTGATTAATAATTCTTTTACGGTCATAGCGGTGATCATATTTATTTAGTCGAGGTTTATGAAGTTTTAGAAGTTGATATTTTTAATTTTGAATGCCCGAACGGGATTGTTAGATAACATTTTTTTACTTGAAATGTCTGAAATGAATTTTAACTAGTGTGAATTTTAATTAGTTTTCTGTTAGATGCCCGAAAGGAATTATAAATCAAATTTTTCGATTTGAAATGTCCGAAGCGAATATTAAATTACATTTTTTTTATTTTAAACGCCGAATGGTAATCGTGAACTAAACTTTTGAATTTTACATGCCTGAAAGTAATTACAAATAAAAATATTCGATTTTAAATGTTTCGAAGGAAGAGCCAATTGGATTTAATTTGAAATACCTGAAGGTAATTATAAATCAAAATGTTTAATTTGAAATGGCTGGAGGGAATGAGAATTATGGTTGCTGTAGTGCGATAAATAAATCGTGAGAGATGTTCAGGCGGCATTGTCGGCAGCTAGTATAGTTGTTATAGCGACCGTGGGCGGTTTCCTGATGAAGGGGTGAGATACTATGTTGCAATCTAGACAGAGCGGCCGGAACAAGCGATGTGGAACGTTCCAGAGAATATTCTTGGATCTCGAAGAGCGTGGGAATGGAGCCAGGCTGGCTTAGCCGAGATTTGCGTTATGGGATTCGCCGAGAATCGCGATTATGGAGCTGAAGATCAACGATACGCGGCTCAACTGCTGTATGACTGCATCCCTCGCGAAAACTCTGCTGATCTTGTGCTTACGTCCCGCTCTATCGACAAACCGTTTCCAAATTTTCTGCATCACTTTGCACACGTTCATAATTTTTCTGAACCCATTATAGTAACGTTATCTTCACAATCACAATGATCACAATTGTTGCAATTGTAACCGTTCGAGTGACAGAATTGTTTGGTCAGATTTGTAAATTAATTTTAACGCCAATCTATTATATTTCCCTAATTTAATTTGTATCCGAATTTTATCAATGTTCCAATTAAAATTTGATTAATTAAAATGCTCAAATTTTATGAAATTTTTGAGGCGATGACGTGGCAGTCAAATTGTTAGAAGACAAAGAAAATTTATATTCATTTTTCATCTAATTTTACTTAAATGCTTAGATATTGGTAACATGAGAACAATACTATATTTCGACATGCAAGCATTTCACACTTAACAGGTTATTAGTAATCATGTGTGAAATATTCTATGACAAGATTTGCATAATTTATTAATTTAAATGCTGAGTGAACTTGAACTTGCGAAAATGGCATTTGAATCGCGTTTTTTCTGCAAAAGTAATTATACTGCGCGCGTTACATTTTGCTGGATGTTCTCTTGGAAAGAAGGTCGGTTTTTGCATTGCCCCATTTTACTGGTAGTTCCACTCATAATACAGAATTTCCACTGTTTTTTCGAACCACTCGTGTTTCTTTTATCATGAAATCTTCCTGCTCATCCGTATTAGCGATGCAAAGGGTGATTAAAATTTGTGTTATGCAGAACGTAGCAGAAAACGTCCTGCAAGTTTCACTGAAAATTCTAGATAACTCGGAGTTCGTACAAAATTTCGTGTCATGTTAGCGGAGTTTGAAAAATTGCTAGGAAAACTTTTGAAATGGTTTTCATCTGAATGTTCAAACAATTCTAGGAAAACATTGGATCAATTCTAGAGAAATTTTGAAATAATTCGAGTGTAATTTTGAATCACTTCTGGGTAAATTTTGAATCAATACTGGTGAGTTAAAAATATGTGGTAATTACAAAGTTATTTATGGTTTTCATTGCATCAAACATTTTTTTTGCATCTCTAGTTACTTTGAAAATAGGGGATAAACATCCCGTGATGGTTTTGTTCCCTTCCAATGAAGGAATTAATTAAGTCTATCCCGGAATTCGTTTCTTTACTTTGGAACTTTCCGGTTCTTTCCCCATCGCTCTGAATTTCTTTCACGTAGCTAACAAAGGGGGATATTGGAAATGAATTCGACGATCCGATTAATTCAACGGTTCAATCTGCATCGGGGTTTTAAAAAGCGATCATTCGATCCAGTCCCGCCCACGGAACTTTTCTAATTTGTCGGCGTGGTGTCGCGTGTGCTGCTGTGCCGATACGATGCCGAACTGCTACGGAGTTGTTTCCGGTTCGAGGTTTAATTTAGCCTCGTGGAAAATTGTCTCGGGTTCGCGGCCGATCTCCAGGAACAGAAAAATGGTTCTGGTTTAATTATACTTCGTCGATGGTCCGAACCGCTGGGTCCTAAAATTAAAGGAACTACGAAAATACACGGACAGGATGATTGAAAGGCTAGCTTTGGCAGTGGGAGGATCGTGACCGGGACAGCTGGAAAAGTCGACTCGGATTTGCTGTCACAACTTCGCTGACTGTAATTCACTATTGTGTGAAATTCTCTGTTGCTCAAGATTTACTTCCGACCTCTTAATTTATAGCATTACATCAACTTTCTAAAGTTAATTACGCCTTGACAGTCAGTGAAAGTGTCTAAAATGATCGAGAAAATGATTTTTTAACAAGCTCATCAATAAATAAGAATGTAATTGTAATTCAAATAATTTTTTATTTCAGTAATTTTCAATTCGATCAATTTTTAGCTCAGATAATTTTTTATTAACACAATTATTTTATACATAATTTTTTAATTCAAATATTTTTTAATCAAATCAGTTTCTAGTTCAGGCAATTATTATATCTTTATAAAACCGAAATAAATGTTGTCACAATTGTACTGAATTATTTTGACAAGACTGTCACTGTCTCTGCCAAGTCCTCCTAATGGACTGTAACCTGGTTTCTTCGTTAGTTAGATGAGCAAATTTGAGACACAGAGTGTTGCTTTCAATCAGGGAATGTAGTTTCCGGTCAGATCAATGCACTCAAGCTTATCGGATGCTCTGAAGGTTGAGCTGGCGATTAGGAAGCCAACCTGTCGAATCGAAGCTCCTCCACGACGATCAAGCGTCCTCAAAGTCTCGGGCTACACACGCAGCTCGGATTAGGTGATCGGAGTTTGCCATTGTTAATGCGATAGAATGTTAACGATTTACTGCTGTCTGTGGCGTGGTAACAACAGTACACTCTCCATATTGCCCTGTTTTTTACCGAGAATATTCATTGGTTCGATTAGTAAATTTCCTTTTATGTTCATTTTTTAATTTTCTTTTTCTTTTTCTACAATTCTATATTTATTCTGTTTAGATATCATAAAAATAATATTTCATTTGCTCAGACGTCATCAAAATAATTAGACAAAATAATCCAGACTTAATTAATATGATAATTCATTTATCTAGACATCACAAAAATATTTTATTTGTTCAGATACAGTACAAATGATATTTCTTTATTATGTATACATACGATGACGTAGTATACGTAACTAATTAGGATAATAGACTCCAATAATTATTGATAATGAGATTGGTAGTTTGTTTCATTTTACAATAAACGAATGAGCTTCCCACGTCACGTATTGAGTTTCATTAATAGGATTATTGGACAATGGATCCGATTTCTAGCATGTTTCCTCGAGCCACTGAATAATTCGTTGCCAAACATTAATAGCTGAACTGCCAATTATAATAAATCATCAGTTTAATTGCTAGGAGCGGTTACATCGTTATTAATTTTGTAATTAATTAGAAGAGGAAATCAGCAGCATTAATGTTAGAATTTAATATATTGATTTAGTGTCTATATTCATTTTGGCACATTAAGCATTCGATTTTGTCAAATTTTCCCTAATATCAATCAATAGCAATCAATGTTCTTTAATTCCTGATTACTTATAATTAATGACGATTTCTAGTAGTTAATCTGATACTCTTTTATTTCAACTGTGAGACGCATAACACTCAGCTAACACAAAGACTGAGTTGCGTATAGTGATTCCATTGGCACGCAACAGAAGTCCTAATTTTACTTGAAAGTCTTTTCTACTTTTTCTTTAAGAAATTGTAGCAATGCGTGTGTTCCATGATGTGTCGAAGTTATTGGCAAGACCGTATTGAAAATCTGTGGTTGGATCGCTCGAAGACAGAATGGTTGGAGTTCCAAGTCAGTTCCGGACAGATTCCATCCGCGTGTTTGGTCCCGGCCACGAACTTGTTGCACAATTTTGTATTTTCCCATTTAACCCGGTTCAAACTGAAATTACTTCTCTCGCAGCTGTCAGAATGTTTGCCGGAACAGCTCTCCGTTACCGGCGGATGTTCTGACAGCTTAACAAAATTAATTGGGAAAGTGGCACTCGTCGAGTGCATTCCGTGGTCATCGTGTTTAATCCTCGAAATCACCCTAATCGCCATAAAAGCTTCTCGGGACAACAACGCGCTTCAAAAACGCTGCACAAAAGCCATAATTACTCCGCAACACTTTCTACGCAATACCTCAATTATTAAATAATCCCGCAAAAGTTTCTTACAAAGTACAATCATTTATATTCATTTTCTGTACCGTCACAGATGTACTTCTTTTATTTCTCTTTATTCGCTTCTTTTATTAATTTCAGCCATAGATTGGCCCAAAAAGAAATGAGAAAATTAGTCGAACTTTTTCTAGGGGATCGAACAGTTTATTTCTATTTTTTTTCCTGAAAGTAGCATGCGAACGGAATTCGCGGCGGAATTTTCATAACGAAATCGTCGAGAGGCGGAAAACGATTTAACGGAGAGTTTTACCTGCAAGTTTTTGAAGCGATGCGAGGCGCACAGCGAGTTCAAAAACCGACACAGCGGACATTTCCTCGGTGGTTGCGTTATCGACGTGTTTACGGTGGTTTCCTGCGTTGTTTCCCTTCCGTTCGTCAGTCCAACCCCAACTTCCGAGCCTCTGCCCATCTGTGGACACATCGAGGGTTCGCCCATTTAGCGCAGTTCCCCTTACGGTGGCTTTTGCGAGAACAGTGTTACGTCAGGACAAACGATACTCATTTCATCAACAGCAGATTGCTATCTTACAGCTTACCTAATATTTTTCTGATACTTGATTCTTCGTTACGTCTATAGAATGATAAATTGCTTATAGGGAATACTACATTTATTGTATCATTCTGTAGTGATTTATTTCAAAAAATTGTAGACTTGATTAGGAGAATGGTTTGACTCTAACTGCTATTTAATATTTTCGACTTGAGTTTTACTAACGATTTTGGAAAAAGTTGTAGTATATGATATTTTATAATTGCTTCGTGTAATACTACATTTTATAATGCTACACATGATATTACATTTTGTAATACTACATATAATATTATATAATATTATGGCGTTGGAAATACAAATGGGGGATGTTAAGGAAATCCAGCAGTATCAGAAAATCCCGGATTCCAGGGATCATCCCTAGTATGCTGGATTTAAGATGATCTCTGCCGAACAGATTTGAGAATCCCATATCCACGTGTCACCGTGTCTCATCGCCTATTCTCCTAACATAGCTATAATGGGGGATAGGGGTAGGATGGAGAACGCCTTGAATGGTTTGATTGTGTATCACAATCGGTGACTCACCGTGATAATGGAGGGTCGTGGTTCACCAGTGAGGTGTTCGATCACTTCCCAGTTGGATTTCTTGAGGGGTGTGTGCGGTGTGCGCGGCGTGTTAGGCGTATGGGGCTGGGAGGACGACGTCGAGGACTTCGACCCCGGAGTATTATTAAGGAGGAGCTCGACCCTGGGCTTCCCGGACTCGTTGTTGCTCACATGCTGACGCAGGCTGGCCCATCTCCTGGTGCTTCGGACCGATCCTGTGGTCGATCGGCTCACTACCTCTCCCTGTCAATCAGAAACAATTTTCTGTTTTAGAATTCCTGATAGGCCAATTTCTAATGCTATCTCAATCGCTCAATATTTAAGCGAATTTTAAAACTCAATTTTTATGTCAATTGTAATCGGTTAATATTTAATTCAATTTCGATCGCTTAATTTCTAATTTTCATTTAAACTATTTTATGGTTAGGATTTAATGTAAGCATTTTTATGACGATTTTTAAGACAGAAGCATACAATTCTTTTGAAGCCAGAATTTTCAAAAATGAAATGCGGATGATTTTACAAAATGAACATAGGTTACTTTGGTTTCAAATAGTAAATTCTGTCACTATAGGGTTCGATTAACGTAACTATCGGGTTTCTGTCGAAACGTTCCAATATAGAAGACATTCTCGGTTGCACCGCAGTCACGATTAATAAAACATCCTTGAGCGGCTCCCCCAGGGTTGAAAGGAGCAGTACTGAAAGGACACCAGACGGGTTTCTCCGACTGATTAGGAAATAGAAATCTAATCAGTACTCCTCCTCTGCTTCACCGGTGACTCGCTCGGGTTTCTTTGAAAGTTCTTCTTGCGTAAAGGATACCGAGAAAGCCTTAATTATATACTGCCACTCGACTTTCTCCTGATCCCTGAGATTACACTTCGCTTAATTAGACAAATATTTCATTAAGAGCCTGATTAATTGGGCCATTCATCGAGTATAGATCTCGAGCACCGAGCAACTGACTCGTACGATTTTTATCAACATCTTCTCCGCTCGTCAAATTATTTTCAGATACGCTGGCTTACTTGTTGCACTCTGGCCTGTTCTGCTTTTCTGTCGAAGCTGGCTTCCGAGATGGATGTAACAGATCTGAGAATTTTATTACCCATGAAAGCTGAGAGGAGCCCCGAGACCCATATGGCCTCTGTTCGCGTCGTCTCCCATTTTCCGTTCCTCTTAAATGTTGCAGAATCTCGGTCTCCGTGAATCAGATTTTCCGGAGCTCCATAGAGAATAGCTAAACCATGTTGTTCACGGATCGTATTTTTGTCAGCACTGATTTTCAAACATTTATAGATCTACACCTCTTCGAGGATGCTCTCTTAATACCGCTTGCTGTTTCTATTTTATGATGCTCTGCTAGCACTGTACGGTATTGGATCATCCCGAACTTATCATAATTTAACGCGAGCTGAAAATTGTTCTGGACGAATTTGTCATTAACTAAATAATATTTCATGACTCGTTAGAGTCTCAGGATACCTTTAAAAAATTCTAGTTACGTTAGCGTTGCTACAAGTTTCCTTAATAAAATTGTGGATCCCTCCAAGTGTCCTTAGGTCACTCTAAAAAAATTCTACTGTCTTCGGAATTACATTTATGTGTCTTAAATAAATTTTGGCTTATTAAACAACACTTTGAGACACTTGAAAAATTCTCTACATTTTCCTGTCTTCGTATCAGGCTTTCCGAATAAGTTCATCATTATGTTAAGTGGTCGCAGAGTGTATATTTGATGACATCATCGTGGAACAACCAAGCCTTGAATTTCTACGCTGACAATTTCTCGAAGACTCGAATCGCGGGCTCTCAATCTACATTCTACCCTTTTCTCCCTCGGATTTTTTTCCTTGGGTAACAAACCAGCCAAGTTGATGGAATGTAAATATCCTCCAAGGCTGCTTGGTACGATCAGGGGAAACACAAATTTCCCGGTCTCCTCCTTAGACACGAAGCAATTACGTGGGACAGTAGCGCGAGAATCTCATTAATCTTCTCTTGGTTGATCAATAAAGTTTCATAAAGCGTGTTATTTCCGTCTATTTGACGGCTGGGTCCACCATTGTCCTCGCCTTTGCCCCGTGAAAATGTCTTAATCTTGTCGGCTTGCATTCTCCTGCCAGTCCATTGTAGCCTTTGTGTCACGTTCCCTTGATTCTTTTGTTTCACTTGCCTGGTCCGATTTTTCTTGGCGAAATTCGCTGTCCTCGACCGATTGCTTCCTTTTCATTTGGGATTGGGTAAGGTCGGAGGGAAGTGCAGTCTTGCCCTTCTTTGAAACGTATCCTCTTTCGATGGCTGAGAGAATTGCGATATAGGTCGATTGTGGATAATATGACAATATTTATTTTCGCTAGTATTCTTTTCTTTGAGATTAAATGATTGCTTTCTCGTTTTCTGGTTTCGTCGATTCTGTTTTCTTCCTTTTGAATACCTTAGGGAAAATTGAGCCTCGTAGAAAATGTAGAATCCCATAAGAAAAAATGGATATTTTTGGAGTTACGACCTATTAAAGTCGAAAATAATGAGTTAATAAGGTTTACGTTCAAATTACACAACATGCTACCCCTTCTCTATGTGTTTACACTTCCAAGGACTCACAGGTAGTAGAAGTTTTGATTAACTCGTTAGTAGTTAGCAGGAGGTTCCTAGTCCTTGCATTGAACACTCTGCTGCATAGTTCGTGAACTCCATAATGATTGGACGGTGCTAATTAATTAGTAGAGTCTTGTTAGCGAAACCAACGTAGTGCTTGATTTTGCTCGGTATACAAGCAAATAAGTAGCAAGTATTTGAAAACAGGTACAAACAGATTTGTCGTTAAATTTCGAATCACTTATGTTCAGAACTCTTATTATTCGTAATTGCAGTGGGCCAAGTAAATTCGATTGCGAATCGCATTAATTATTGCAATCCAGTCTACCATAATGCGAACACCGATAAAATGAATTACAGATGCAGGGTCGTTTACATTGTCGGATGATTTTGCGAACCGATATGTTATGAGAGGAGGCAGCGTGTGTTAATTACCGTCCACCGGCGATCATTAAATATTAATTATATCTGACCGTTACGAGAAACACTGTTTATTGTTTACTCATCTGTTTTGGCGATTTCGGTGGAAATTCTGATCTTCGTTACAAGATTGTGTAATTTATGCATTTCTGGAATTGATATATTTTTGTAATTACGGTGAGATATTGTCAAAAATTGAGATCTTACAGAAATTAAAATGTTTTAATAATTAAATTGTTCCGTGGAATTGAAATATTGCGAAAATTAAAATGTTCTAAAGAATCAAAATGTTTTGAAAATGAAAATGTTCTAAGGAACTAAAATGTTATAAAAATTAAAAACATACAAATTAAAATGTTCCAGAAATTTTAATGTTGTGAATATTTAGATGTTGTCATGATTCATACAATTACGATGCATATTATTTCCATGATATTGCTCATGGTCCATGATTGGTCGCTGATTGCAATGATCCCTGGTGACTCGTTGACGTTTGATGATAGGATGGCGTTGCCGAAATAATTGCTGTGTCATCAGACGCGTCCAAAAATACCAGTGAATCGAGGCATCGGTGGCATCGATTTAATCAAACCTTATCGTTCGGTAATTCAAAGCACTCGAGCCATTTCTGCGGCCAGTGAATTCTTTGTCAATGTGTCCACATTGGCCGCGGTCCCGGCGTGAAAGCTTGATAACGTATCACCTGACACGAATTTCCGAACTGACTCTCTCGCGCTATCGCTCCCAACACGTTCCCTCGCTTTACATATCAAAAACTGCGGAACTTTTCATTCTTCTCTGTCACAATTATTCCTGCGATTACATTCGCTGCAGCTCGACAATTATTGTTACCGAGTTTCGCCATTGAAAATTCTGTTTCGAAATTTCATGCTCTCGGTACGCTTCTGATTTTCTCTCTGCGTACAATGTGTTCGAAAGCTGTTCTGTTACTGATAAATATTGGGCAAAAAATGTCTACGATCTACGTTTGTTATTACATAAATTGGCAGTGACTGTGTATTTGTGGCAAACAATATTTGTAAAGTATGAAATTTGTATGGTCTACATAAGAAAAATATTTTTTAATAATAAATTATGCGATTGGAAAAATATTATCGGTTTAATTTTCTGCAGAGTAAAGAAGTTAACGTACATTGTCAATTATAGCATATTTGTGATTAGTAATATTTCATATGAAATATTTAATTTCGATGGGATACTATAATAACACGTATATGCTATAATAAAATTTCCTATAAAATGTCGTGGTGTATCTAGCAATATTTTTCAATAATATAATATTATAATAGAAGAAAATATGTGAAATATATCGTACGCAATTGTTCAAACTATTTGTCATAGGACACAGTCCTGACCTCGCATTGGAACAATAGGTTTTCCATACAATCGTCGCCGCAACTTGGAGTTATTAAATACTATATTAAATCCATTCGTGGACTCTGAGAACGCTCTGAAACTTTGCTGCAGATTACGCGGTGGCACGCTGTGTTTGATTAAACCAACAATAATTGCTCGCTGGAAACAGCCTGCTGAATACGCGACACACGAATCCTCTTTTGCTTCACAGTCGCCGAGGATGTTTTAGTGTGTAACCACCCATCTGTATAAAATATAACAAAACCATTTGCTCTCTCTCTCTCTCTCTCTCTCTCTCTCTCTCTCTCTCTCTCCCCTCTCGCTTGGTCGATCAATCGATTAATCAGTAATTCATTTTTCTATAATATGTCCATTGAAACGTTTAGTCAGAGGTTCGTTAGACTCCGCGAATCGACTGGAAAATCTACGACACCGTGGACTCGATTTTCTGATTAATTAAAGAATAATTAGAATGGTTAGATTGAGTTTAAATTTCACTGTCTCTCTTATTCACTGCGACAATTACCAGTTGTATTTTAATTTCGGAAAATGCTGGATAGCTGGATGGTTAGAATGTATTTAATTTGCAGAAGTTCGATTATTGAATCGGGTAAATGTAGTTCATTTAAACTTTAAATTGTCATTTAAGTTTATCGTGACTGTGTTCGCAATTACATCGGAGAATAATAGAAATTTTTTGATCAATTTTACTTTATATTCAGAGTATAATTTACTGCTTCATTTGAAATGAAATAATGAGCGAATTAACATAGTAGTGATGGGTTCTCAAGCAATGTTTCGAGTGTAATAATTTCATTGTACAAATGTCAAAAATGCTCAGTATGTGAATAATATTTCGAGGGGTGGTGATGGGTTTTCAAACAAAACATGGAGTTCAATAATACCTTTGCACAAGTGTCAATAGTATTTAACATATCAATACTGTTTCGAAAAGTAGTGCAGTGTTTTCAATGAAAATATCGCGATTAATAATTCGTTTGTGCAAGCGTCAGTAATATTTCTGCATCAGTGACATTCCTGGCAACGATATTATGGCAGTAATTGCAATCGATGATTCAGCTCGGTGAAAAACGCAGGCTCGATCGGCCCCGGTGCGCGCGAGAGTTACGTTGATCAATTAATTCCCGGCGAAGCCAGGCCGTGTTTATGCCCGGTTCAGGGGATTCGATTTTAATTTCGCCTAACGAGATTATTGCTTCTTTCGCTAGCCTCGTAATTCGTGGACACGATGTAATAACGTGTGACTCTGCTCTCCCATTCGCTCCACGGCGAGAATAAACTTGTGAATAATGGATGAGGCGAGCTCAGCTCTTTTGAATAAAAAGGTGACGTTGTCGCGAGACAACAGCCTGATACAGTTCCTTTTTGCCACCGTGGTCTCTGTTAATTGCGGAGAGAAAAAAATTGATGAATGTTTCACCGTCGGTGTCGGGTAGCTTGCTGCTAAAAGTTAGACGACCCTAATCACCGAGATTCGTTTTTCCTGGATCGTTGTTTAGCCTGAATAAATTGCGGATGTCGCTGCGACGGTGCTACCACAGCATNGAAAATATGTGAAATATATCGTACGCAATTGTTCAAACTATTTGTCATAGGACACAGTCCTGACCTCGCATTGGAACAATAGGTTTTCCATACAATCGTCGCCGCAACTTGGAGTTATTAAATACTATATTAAATCCATTCGTGGACTCTGAGAACGCTCTGAAACTTTGCTGCAGATTACGCGGTGGCACGCTGTGTTTGATTAAACCAACAATAATTGCTCGCTGGAAACAGCCTGCTGAATACGCGACACACGAATCCTCTTTTGCTTCACAGTCGCCGAGGATGTTTTAGTGTGTAACCACCCATCTGTATAAAATATAACAAAACCATTTGCTCTCTCTCTCTCTCTCTCTCTCTCTCTCTCTCTCTCTCTCTCCCCTCTCGCTTGGTCGATCAATCGATTAATCAGTAATTCATTTTTCTATAATATGTCCATTGAAACGTTTAGTCAGAGGTTCGTTAGACTCCGCGAATCGACTGGAAAATCTACGACACCGTGGACTCGATTTTCTGATTAATTAAAGAATAATTAGAATGGTTAGATTGAGTTTAAATTTCACTGTCTCTCTTATTCACTGCGACAATTACCAGTTGTATTTTAATTTCGGAAAATGCTGGATAGCTGGATGGTTAGAATGTATTTAATTTGCAGAAGTTCGATTATTGAATCGGGTAAATGTAGTTCATTTAAACTTTAAATTGTCATTTAAGTTTATCGTGACTGTGTTCGCAATTACATCGGAGAATAATAGAAATTTTTTGATCAATTTTACTTTATATTCAGAGTATAATTTACTGCTTCATTTGAAATGAAATAATGAGCGAATTAACATAGTAGTGATGGGTTCTCAAGCAATGTTTCGAGTGTAATAATTTCATTGTACAAATGTCAAAAATGCTCAGTATGTGAATAATATTTCGAGGGGTGGTGATGGGTTTTCAAACAAAACATGGAGTTCAATAATACCTTTGCACAAGTGTCAATAGTATTTAACATATCAATACTGTTTCGAAAAGTAGTGCAGTGTTTTCAATGAAAATATCGCGATTAATAATTCGTTTGTGCAAGCGTCAGTAATATTTCTGCATCAGTGACATTCCTGGCAACGATATTATGGCAGTAATTGCAATCGATGATTCAGCTCGGTGAAAAACGCAGGCTCGATCGGCCCCGGTGCGCGCGAGAGTTACGTTGATCAATTAATTCCCGGCGAAGCCAGGCCGTGTTTATGCCCGGTTCAGGGGATTCGATTTTAATTTCGCCTAACGAGATTATTGCTTCTTTCGCTAGCCTCGTAATTCGTGGACACGATGTAATAACGTGTGACTCTGCTCTCCCATTCGCTCCACGGCGAGAATAAACTTGTGAATAATGGATGAGGCGAGCTCAGCTCTTTTGAATAAAAAGGTGACGTTGTCGCGAGACAACAGCCTGATACAGTTCCTTTTTGCCACCGTGGTCTCTGTTAATTGCGGAGAGAAAAAAATTGATGAATGTTTCACCGTCGGTGTCGGGTAGCTTGCTGCTAAAAGTTAGACGACCCTAATCACCGAGATTCGTTTTTCCTGGATCGTTGTTTAGCCTGAATAAATTGCGGATGTCGCTGCGACGGTGCTACCACAGCATGAATTGACTTTCATGCTTGCTTTTTAATTATAGCGACTTTCCTATACACGATATAAATTATTATTTTAAATTATCTTTGTTTCGTACCGTCCTTGTTCTTTTAATTATTCAAGATACATTGTTATTACAAATTGAATTTTATAATATTTTTCTATCACCTCGTCTCTTTTTTTCGATTTGATATTTTACAATATTCAGGTAATCATTTTGTGGGAAAACACAGCAAGCGAGATCCAATATTTCCAAAATACAAACATTGACCAAAACTCTCTGGAAACACAGTAAAAAGAAACAAATTTATACAAGCAATTTAACAGCTGCTACAAATCATTCTCTCTATCGATTCAAATAAAAATATTTGGAATACACAAAATTGGAGAGCTCGGAGGAAATGGTTTGTGCACAGTGTGCTGGAAACCTGTTTTTCCTGGTCAAGATTGTATTCTCAAAGTTCCGCAGTATGAACGAAATTTTATTTATAAGTCGATCGATATCCCTTCCACGTTTCTTTTACTTTAGATAATTATGTGATAATTAGTTCTGTTTTCCAGCAAAAATTGTATCAGTACATAATTCTCTACTCTCGATTTAAAGAAAAAGAAATTTTTTTCCAGCCGGAAATGAAATTTTTATTTTTGGTTTTATAATTCTCTGGCAGCTGTCAAGTCGAATCGAATGATTTATTGTACCATAACTTGGAACATTGTGTAACACCCTTCCATTCAGGCTCATTAAATCGCGACGTTCGATCCCCTAACGTTATTCCCGAAGAATCCGGTATCTCTATCAACGTCGGTGAAGTTATCCGGAAAGAGGTTCTCGGTTAGGTTCCCTCCATTACTCAGCGTGGTCGAGTGCTAACATGATAAGGGCGTAAAAATCGAAGGGATCTAGTGGGTTTCTGTGTGTCTGAGTTACCTGATGACTCCTTCGGCTGGCTCGGAGGCTGAGACGGTGTCTCCACTCGTGCTTCGGGAATTCCGCGCCGCATTTCTCCATGTCGGCCTCTCTTCTTCTGGCTGTCGCTGGTGAAAAGCCCTTCGGGGCAATGGAACACCGTTGTCTCCCGGCTACTTCATGCTCCCCCTGCCAAGCAGAAAAATATTTTCAGGCTTCTCGTTTCCACGAGCTCGCATTCTTCCCCTAGAAAACCCCTTAAATCTTTTGTCCACTGCGCTTCCCTCTTTTTTTCTGAATTCGTCCCTCTACGCGAGACTGCAATCTCGACTTTCCAAAAGCTTTCCGCTGTTCGTTTCTAATTCGAAACATGGATAGAATTTTCGCAGAATTTTTTGCAGTCTTAGAAGAATTTTTCCAATAAGTGAAGAATTTCTCAAACGTCATTTTTGGATTTTCAAATTGGTTATTTGTAGTTTAGTAAAGTAAATTTGTTTAATATGCGGAGGTAGGTGTTGTCGTTTATTGGATGGTGTGGCATCGGCTCCACACTGAGCGCATAGTATTGCAGTAATTAGATTATATTAATTTTGGCACTCGGTTTCAGTAGTTCGGGTCAACCGTGGATCAGGTATACAGTCGTAGCAAAATACGAACAAATACAGTATTATTAAAACGGTATAGCTTGTTTAGAATTTTATGGAATGAGTTGATTTTTTGAGATCTTAGAAGGAATTTTAAGCTGTCAAGCTATTTATAAGAAAGTTTTTCCAAAAATAACAAAATTTTTATAATTATGTTTTCAACTTTTTTATCTGAGCATATAACATGATTTATTTTTGTAATTCCACCCAATTGTAATCGTCGCAAAAATGTTTTTATCCTCTATCTAGCAAAATAGTCATTCTTATATAATTAAAATCGTTTGGTCGCATTTTATAAGAATTATTCAATTATAGAAGTTGTTCGCTATTTCTAGTGACTCTCCGAACAAGTTTTCCTATTTGCAGTATATCGTTTAATGAAATCGACTTGCGAGGTTTTATTGACATCTTGTTAATTTTACCCTGTAAAGGGTGCAGATGATAATTATAAACAACGAACATTATAGGGTCTAGGGATCGTGTAAAAAGGAACGAAAATATTAATAGAATTAATAAGCGGAGAATATTAAAATATATATAGAGGGCGTCTGGCTGCGAAGCTCATTACAGCAAGGCGTCTTCTTAATGCCGCCGGGCGAAATACTGTCAAATATTTGTCGGGAGAATTGAATCGGGATGGGGTCCGCGGCTCGAGTGATCTACGAGAATAGATCCTCGATCCGCCCTTTTTCCCACGGCGTTCTTCGCGTTGCCGTGTAACGCGCAGGCGACGAAGGACGAATTGGAATCTTTAGATAGCCCTCGAGGACTCTCGACAGCGACTGGTCCTTGCCATTCGGTATCGAAAATCCTTTTTTTCCACAATATTGCACGGTTGATGGAGTCCATGGATCGAGTACAATCCTCTGCTGGATCGTTTTTCTTCTGCCATAAAATATTTATCTACCGAGCCCTGACCTTCGTGGAAATTCGGATTTATTATTAATGGCTTCTCGCTGCTGAACTTTGAATTTTTCTTGGATAAACCTAGTTCTATACTCTCGTAAAACTTCGCGAACTTGTTGGTGAATGTTCAATCTGGTGTTGTAAATTTTTGTTATACCTCAATTTTGCCTCCTTCTCTATTTGTAACTTTTTATCTTCCTGTACGGATTTACACGTTTACAGAAGGGCACGATTCGCTGTCAAGTACTATCTGTTTTATTGCATCGAAGTGGTCGAGCCAAACGCTATCAATAGCGACAGGAAAAATCGGGACGCTTTAAAAATTGATGGCTATCACCAGCTGTGCGCTCGATTCTCCTTGTTAATGCGTCAATTTTGTCGTATTGCTGCTACTTTCGCTGTCCGTTTCTCCTTCTCTGAACAACTCTCTAATCCACGATTCAATCATTTAAGTAATAATGAATTAGCTAACTGAATCTTCAGCTAACTAACTTTATGTAAGATGAGTAAAGCTTTACAAAGTACGTGGAAAGAAATTACAATAATCGAGTGTGCGACAATTATCAAAATGGTTTCGAAAATGTATTGAAGCAGCAGGAGAATACTTTGAACACTTAATATAAATTTCATTGTTCAGTTATGCGATTAATATATTTGTTAAACTGGTATATGATATTAAATTGAAGTGTCCTTAATTCCAATGCAGCTAAATATTGTCATGCAAATACAAGGCAGAATTTTTTCCACACCTTGTAATTACTTCCATTTGTTTAATTAAAAATTCTTTTGAACTGAGAATATTAATTAGACAGGATCCGGTATCAGCGTTTCCTTTCACCTATTGCATTACAATTTTTATCAACATCGCGCTATCTCTGGCAAACACTAGAAAATTAATAATTGTTTCGAAATATAACTATTACATATGACGTGATTGCACAGTAGGATGAGTAATTCGAAGCTACCAGATATCCGTATTCAGAAAATAGATGAGCAATTGTTCCCTGGGAAAAGAATCTCATCAAGTATGCATTTGACGATGTTTCTTGAGAATAGTAGTCGTCGTGTTGGGATCGTCGAATGCATTCGAGGGTGAAGACGAATCAATACTATCATTTATGAGAAATTATGTAAAGCGAGGGGCTACCTGGCCGTAATTGGTGCCTAAAGTCCGTCGTTTGGCCCAATTAGCGGCAGTAAAGCTTCGAAAGTAATGATAACTATTCACGCAGACCCTTTCCCTCGATCTTTAGATCGCTGAGTATAATGGAGGAATCGTTTATCGCCTGACCAGCTATCTTTTCCGAAATTTTCCATGCAAATTTCCTCCCTGCGTTGTCAAATATTTTCAAATACTCCTAACTCGATCACTATGAGCTTGACTCTAAAAATTTCCACTGCAAAACGTTCTTTGCTGCTGCAGTTATTCTTCCAGGTATTCGTACAGGACGATTGGAAATTTTCAATTCCTTAGAATTAATTTCGGATTATAACACAAATTTCGTGGTTATATGCTTTATAGCGAAGATTCATTGTGGTTCTAAAATGCTTAGGGATTTATTTAATAATTCTTTGGAAAGTGAAAAATTATTACTTATTTCGCGTGGTCAATTTGATTCTCTTCATTATATTCATTCCTGCATTGTCAGGATATTTTATAGAACGTAGTTCTATAGAAAAAGAATTCGTTCTAGGATTGAGTATATACATTTTGGATCACGCTGTATGTGTACATCTGAAATGACAAAATACTTCAATACATTCAGACAACTGTAAACGTCGTTTCAGATTGACGACACTGCCTGATGACATGAGATTGCTTTCCCCTCTGTATTACCATTCTGCGTTGACGTATAGGGTGATCCAGAAACGCAGACTCGTGCGCCTTGATCTGATATCAATGCCCATCAAATTATTGGTGTCCATAATCCACTTAAAGACTTGCTGTTCAAGCTATAAGTTCTTTAGAGCTATCCTAATTGTCTTCAAAATACTGTGCCTGATCTACAGGTCGTTTTATTTCATCAATGAACGACTTTATAGTCAAATGACCAACAATTAAATACCAATTGTTTGCTAACTGAACAGTTTGTTCCAATGTATCCTCATCGCACCGAAATCATAATTGTCGATGCTCACCTGTCCTGCTACACCTCCCCACTGCGAAGAAGCGCATTTATCGTCCGCATCATTGCCTTTTTGCCAATATTACGAGCTCGTTCCGCCGCGAACGAGATCATTAACGCGGAGAAAAATTTCGCGACCGCTCTCCCGGTTTTCATCGGAGGCAATCGCCCCTGAAATTGGCCCTCGAATTTGTTTTTCTCTTGGTGAAGGGATTTCCCTGGACGCCCCCGCGCCGCGTCGACCCATTTCCGGGAAACGCTGCGAATTTCCGGGAGCCGTACGTTCAGAAGTGAAAATCGCTTTTTCCCCCTCAGCGTTTGACCACGATTTTTCTAGCCCCCGAATGTTACCTGAGTGTATCCAGCCTCTTTCTCGCAAACTTTCCAGTGGAAGTTTTCACGGTTTTCGAGGGGCCAAGTTCTGTTGAAAAATTCAGCGGAAACTTCGACGAGACCAACTCTGCCGCCGAGGCTTTTGGAAACTGTTTTCGTTTCTGTTACTTTTTTATTTACCCGTGAGCAATCATCTCCTCCACTTTCCTCTTTTGTATTATTTTTCTCTGCCGGAAAATGGAAGCAGAAAATGTTTATTGTGTTTCGAGCATTATGAAATCAATAGAAAATTTGTTTGTTTAGGAAATATTCGTGAGTATTTGTTAAAAATGTTCAAATATTTTATTACTTCAAAATTATTGTTTCTTAATTTTTATGTGATTGTTAGTACTATTTTCTTCATTTTCTGTTTTCAAAGTGATTACGTAGTATTGTGTTGGAATTAGTGTAAGGCAGTCGTCTGTGTTTGCTGTCTCCGAGGAAAAAATTTAATTAGACGGATTTATTATTATTGCCGAGCAACAAGTGTGTCCACACAATCAACCAATCAGAACCGCATCCATCCCTGGCGATTATATAATAGAGTATAGGGCGTACTGACTCACCATACAGTTCTTATTACCTTGTCGGGGATCAATGAAAAAATTATAGAAAATTGAGCTAATTATCGTATCGAATGGCTTCCGGAGGAACGATGCCTCTGCCGGATGTACAAATAAATCTCTGCTCTATATTCAGTTCTATCCGACTGCTATTTTCTCTGAAAATCGTAGTTTATATTCTTTGTAATTCGTTTCACTGCCATGTCGAACGCTGCAGATGTCAAGTATTCACCACTAATCTTACAATTATCAGAAATCTGCTGAATACGCCGTATTCGGTGAGCTTGTGGTTTCGAAAATCTCTTTTGTGATTAGTGGTAATCGATAAATAGATTATAGTGAATTCCGACCGATAATTTCCCAGTCTGCGACAGTGTTATTCCTTCCATTTGTGTCGATTATTCAAATTAAGACGCTGTGTGAGTTTTTACGATGGAATGATATTTTTATACTATCAATGAAGATACTATGGCTGGTTTTAGGATGTTGTCACGAGTATTTAGTTAATTATGTTCACGTAGCGTTTTTTCGACGGAGGATTGCAATTACAGTAATTAACGAATGGAATGAAAGTGCAG